CGGGGCTGTTGCAGGAGTGGCCTGTGCTGCTGTGCTTGGTGCTGGCACTGCACTGGCAGGTTGGTGGTGCGCAGGTTCAAGCAGCCCTGGAGACGGGGCTAGAGTGGTTTGCAATTCAGAGCACGAAGTGAGCGCCCAGAGGTGGCTGTGCGGTGTCACTTGCGGCCACGGGGTAAAACGTCCAGCCTGGAAAGTTGCTCTTGGTTGTCTGAGGATCCAAGCAGAGCTGCAGGGATGTGTGGCCGGGGTGGAAGCAGCTGCCATCTGCGTGGAGGGGCTGCACAGCTTCAGTGGTGTCACTGGACGCAGGACCATGCCTCCTCACACGGTGCATGGAGGAGAAAAGTCTAGAAAGAGAAACATGAATTGCAATAAGTGAGAAGCCTGAGCCATTCCCAGCAAAAATTCCTTGTAAAAGTGAGACATGTTAGTGATCCCACAGTGGAAAGCAACTCAATTCCCTGATGGTGGACAGCACTGTAGAACCTCACTGTACAGGTGTCAGTGAATCAGGCCTGTTCATAGAGGCTGCCACACAGTCAACACTGAAAATGTAGTTGACATGAGCATGGTAGATTTTTGCACCGCTGTGTCCATGCCACATCTAACCTGTTCGTTCTCTTCCCGGTGCTTCTTCGAGGTGCAAAGCACTTTCTTGCACAACAGCTGTTCATAACTCTCTGCTCAGCACACACATTCCCACCGAAAGCCTCGTTTCAGGATTGGCTTATATCCCCATCACTTCACATCTCTTCTTACGCTGTATCCCGTCTCTCCGCATTTGATTTCTTCTCATGCGCAGAAAACAGACTCTCAGCCATGTCAAGTGGTCCCTGTTATGAAGACTGCTGACCGCCCTTTTGCTTTTCTGTTCAGGACGCTCTGGGAGGATCTCATCTGCGAGGGCTGCGTGAGAGACGTCTTCAGGGAAAGAATACCCTTTTTGGACATACTGGTTGGGGCAAGGCTTACGCTACGGGCTTTTAGGCAAGACGGGTTTTACTCAGAGGAGCAAGAACACCACCGAGGGAAAGGAATGGAGCGCCTGGCCTCCTTCAGTAGTAAGTACCGTAAGATGACATTTGGAAAGTGTTTGCCATTGTTTAAAGACATTAGCAGCCATCTCGGGGAGGGAGACAAAAAACTAGCAGTATTTGGTCCACAGGGTCACTTCTTTGATCAAATTCTCAAGAGCACAAGTACGTGAATGATTCAGTGGGAATTCAGGTCTTTTTTTCTATCTACTTCTTATAGTCAGGCTAGTTCAAATCCATTTTCTTGGAAAAAATGTGGCTTATAACTTGACAGTCTATTTATTTTGACTACTTTGCAATGAACAGAATAAGAAAAACTTGCAGAGCAGTGTTTCATTCCTTGTTCAGCAATCTGAGCAGAGTCTGAGGTTTGGACGGGTTACAGAACAATCTTGTTGATGCCTTTGCAACCACAGCAATATGCTTTGCGAGTCTGACTTGAGGTAGATGGATGGGAGACCGCAGCTGTCTGTGCAGTATTCTCCACAAATAAGGTCTTGGGTCTGGTCTTCAGTGCAGAACATGAGCATGGGCACCGGATCAAATCAGCCAGCTAGCACAGCTCCTGGCGTCACTGCTGAGTTGTACGAGGAGGCTGCTACAGAGAAGATTTTCCTTTGAGTCCGTTGCACAAGTTTCGGTTTAGCCCTCAGTGTATCAGGTCTAGCAGGGATGCAGTGCCAACATCTCTCTTGCAACTCTAGCTGAACAGGGAACTTTTAACAGATATTTGGAGAAGCTGCAGTAGGAGAGAGGTTATATACAGTTGAGGTCACTTACAATTACTGGGCACAAGTGAATTTAGGTGATTGCAAAACCAGTGCCTTGTTTGTGTTGCATGAGATTTACTTTTGGCTTCGCAGATGACCCTTTTGATAAGCCTCCATGCCGAGGTTGCTCTTCATACCTCACAGAGCCCTACGTTAAGTGTGCTGAGTGTGGGCCTCCTCCCTTCCTCCTGTGTTTGCAGGTGAGTGCAAGGATAAAAGCAAAGGCATTCATTTCTTTGAGAAAGTCATCAAAGGCCTGTCCGGTGCCAAGCTGCTCCATAAACACATTAATAACTGGTCTCTGTAAACTTGTATCAACACACTTATTTGCTCAGGGACAGGGAAATGACAAAGAAAATGTTGGAGGCTGAAGAACTTGGGCATGAGCAGCTGAAGCAGATCTTTGTGAAGGCAGCCAAAGCTACCTAAAGACATGCAGTCAGCCTGACTGTGTAACGGAGCATGCCGCTGCATGTCTAGAGAGGTATCGTTTCTGTCATTTTTTATGGCATGGAAAAGAAAAGCCATCAAGAAATACCCTTTCCCTGTCACCACACATTGGTTTTTTCCTCCCAAATGGAAAAGAAAATTTGGGGAAAGTTTGCAATATTGACAATAATTGTTTGTGACCAGATACAATTCTTTAAAAATTATGTGTGTGATCTGATAACCACAGAAAGTACTGCTAGTTTTAATTATTAAATAAATAAGTTTGCGTTATTTATGATTAAAAAATGGCAATAACCTCTAAAACTGAAAAAGGAGCTTAGCCTTTTGCTCAGATACGTACAAAATGCACAAAAACATATTTTTGTTCATTTACCTGTACTTAAAAAGAAATTTAACTGTTGAAAATTGCTGCAAACCATGCTGGTGCTTTTTAAACAAAAAAACAAGATTAAAGGGAAACTGTGTTTTCAGTGCTTAAGAAATGCTCTGTGCTCTCTTCCTGGAACGATCCACTTTAAAACATACCACCAAGCTTCTTTCACCTGCCTAACTTTGCCATAAATACTTAACAAAAAAGTATGTCGATTCACAGGAGTTATGTCTTGGTGCAAAAGACAAGTAAGATACAAAGACAGATTTAACATAATTTTAACAAAGATTTTTCTACCATTCTATGTTTTTTCTAAAATGAAATCAGAAAGTTGAATAGATTTTTCAGCATATCAGGTGGTCAGTTTTGGATACCCAGTAGTCAGAGAATAAAAGGAAAAAAGGGACCAGTTAAAGTGTTTTCAGGGCAGAAGCAAGAGACTAACATAATGCTAATCTTTTGTTCTACAGTGTTTCACACGAGGATTTGAATACAAGAAACATCAAAGTGATCATACTTATGAGATAATGGTAAATATTCCTTTTAGATAACGCCTACTCAATCTTGAGCTTTCATAACTTCCCAGGAGTTAGACCCTTGCTTACTAATATTACATTGAAAAGTTAAGTGATACAATTCTTTGATTCAGAGGTTTAGAACTACTAAAAAAAGAAAAAGTATTCCTTGAGAGCAAAGAAAAATATCCACCTGGAACCTAATGGAATAGTGGAGACATTTAAAGCTATATTTTTTTATTGTGCCTAGATAGCACAATGCATCTCACTAGACTTCCAATTCTTTAACCATGTGAATCAACTTCTGTTTCTCTATTCTTGTTTTTTCTTCCCCAAAATTAATAATTTTAAAAGTCTTCAGTAATTTTTATTGTGTTTCATAGCATAACATTGTTGAATTACATCTGGTAGATACAACATGTAACAGTATATCAGAAGATCTGTAGTGACAAACTAGTTTTTACTGTGGTTGATGACCCAATGCCCTAAATAATTCAACAATTATTTGATCAGGTTTCATGGGACACAGTAAAAGTTTTAAAACTACCAGTATTACATACTATGTTGCCCTGTAGCTTAGAACTTCTTTTCTCTTCATGTGGTGGATTATAACAGAGGATCACAGCAGTTTGATTTGCTTTTATCTTCTCTAGACTTCGGATTTCCCTGTCTTGGATCCTAACTGGACAGCTCAAGAGGAAATGGCACTCCTAGAAGCTGTGATGGACTGTGGATTTGGAAACTGGTGAGAAGTTAGTGGTTCAGCCAACTTCAGTGAATGATGGGTAGTTTTTCCTTTCATTTCACTGGGTCTTACTGTTGCATACATCAGTGCACACCGAATGTTCAATGACTTATTATGGGTGAGACACTAATTTAGCAGCTAAAGTGGAAGAATGGGGTAGCAGATTCTGTTTTCAAATCTGCTGTTAGATATGTAAGGAAATTGTTAAAGACTTCTTGTGAAATGCAGGGCACCTCCAGTGGAGAACAAAGTTCCCTCAGTTTGCATTAAAGTCACTAGGTTTTGAAGGAGCTCAACTATTGCACAAGATTTTCTGTGCCTCAGTTTATTTCTATGTAAAAACCAACTACAGAAATTTCTTACCTTGTGTGATTTTGGTTTGCTTACAGTTGACTAGCTAGGTATTAATTAAGTTAATTTCTGTAGTTGCTACAGGATTTTTATGCATTTGTAAATAAAGGAGATGTGTAGTCATGAGTTATCTCTCTTCTCCTTCATGAAAAAATAGCTGTATTAAAAGTGTAGAACTCCAGACTTCACTGAAACAGAACTGTGAGTTCTTATGTGTACATTGCTGTCATAATTAAGACTGAAAACTGGTGGTAGTTATGTTCTGCAAGTATGCTGTCTAGTACGCTTTGCCCTACTTAGCAATACAAGTAATCTTAACTTTTTCCTTAAGCACTTGGCTTTTTTCAGCCTTTACCAAATAAAGGAAAAACTGACTTTTCTTCCTGGAATCCCTTGCATCCAGTTTTTACTTTAACAGAAATTAAAATGATTGCTGCTGGTGGATTTTTTTTTTTTTAAAGTCCTCAACTTACACAGCCATTTTATTAAGACAAAATACTTCATGTTTCTAGTCAACCACTTTTCCAAGAAAGTTTGGCAATGATTTCTAGAATGCATTTTGTACAAACATTTCAGTGTTTAAAAAAAACCTGTTTAACATCACTACACGAAAGGGGAAACCACTATCCAGTTAAAATCGCAAGAGAAACTTGAGAAGCAGAACGCAGTTCCGGACTTAGACTTTACCATTACCTGGAGTTAGTAAAATGTATAAAAAGCAGTCAGATAACAATACTAAATTTTCAAACATATAAACCATTTGGTACATTCCATCAGCCAGGGAGTTTCTCATGTAAAGACAGTGAACTGCATTGCTCGTGACCACCAAAAAAGTGCTCCCTAGCACTGTATCAAACGTGCAAGTATTGGCTCAGTGTCAGTAGGCAAAATGTGAGTTCAGACATCATCACAGATCAGTTCTCTGCATACAATGCGATCAATCTCTTGTCCAAAATTATCTTTTCCCACTAGAAAAAATCCCTCAACATTTCTGTGTTCTTCATATTAAGCCTCCCCCTTTCCCCACTTCAGGCAGGATGTAGCCAACCAGATGTGTACAAAATCCAAGGAGGAGTGTGAGAAACATTATATGAAACACTTTATCAACAATCCCTTGTTTGCATCTACATTACTGAACCTGAAGCAGGCGGAGGAGGCGCAGCACAACGAAACAGCCATTCCTTTCCACCGTGAGTATCCCCTGCCCACTAGCACACGGAGGGAGCTTCCCACAATGTCTCTGCTCTTCCAAAACTGGAATGAGCAGCCTTTCAAGAAAGGCATGCACCACACATACAGTTTGCTTTCATTCCCCAAAGGAGAGCTTGTTCTGATGCCTAACTTGAATAATGTTAGTAGTAGGGTTTTCTTCACACTGTGTTAAATCATTGGTGTATCAAATAAACAAGACTGCCAGTTCAGTGGGAGAAGGGAGGGAACAGAGTGGTCTGATACAAACATCAGTTCACAAAACGAGAAGTTCCTGCACAGCCAGCGGAAATGGTCACTCACAGAAATCACCACAGCAAAAGCCTGGATGTGCATATTCATTTAAAGGACATGCTACCTCAAAGCTACTTCACATGTGGCACGATATAACAGCATGTCCTTTGTGGTAAATACCAGTGTGAGTTCTCACCGTCATGCTGGGGTGGTTACTTTTCTTGTCCAGACCCTGCGTAGCAATGTTAACTGAGGAGGGGTTTCTACTTTTAAAACATTTCATCTGATTATCCACTGTGTAGCGGGCCTAACTGCTGATGTGATTTGTCATAAAATCACTCCCTTTAAACTGCTGATTTCACACCTCTCTCTTTAAAACTGCCTTTTAAAACATGTATGTTAAATTTCAGCAATTTAACAAATTTTCAGTTTTTCTTAAATTTAACATCTTTAGAATTCCCCCAGTCTAGCAGCTGTTCCATTAGAAAGCTCCCCAAAATGGCTGGGTAAAAAGATTCCTTGGTGTCTGGAGGTTTAAATTTCACGATAAAGTGGTTAAAGATAAAGCAGTAGGAACTGGACAATTTTGGTTCTGTCCCTGGCTGCCATTGATTTTTTTATGTGACCTGGGCGAAGACAAATTCTCTGTGCCTCGGCTTGCTTTATCTGTAGCATGGGACTTATAATGCTTAACTCCTTCACAAGTGTGTTGTGAGCTTCGGTCTGTTACTGTCTGTAAAACACTGAACTCCTCAGTTAGGAAGCGCTGTGAAAATTCAGAGTTGTATACCTTTAATTGCAGCTCTCTGTAAATGGCACCCAGAAGATGGCAGATTTAACACCCCTGTTGCTATTAACTAAAAGAACCTGCGCGCTGAGACCAAGTGATCTGCAGAGGTTTACTGGGGGGATGCTGAGCTCTGAAATGTAGAGTTTACATTTTATAACCTATTTATTACCTTGAATTTATGTGTTTGACTTTTGAGAACACTATGAAGATCTCAGATTACTGTGTTTTTCCCTGGATGAACTCAGTCTTTTTCTAAATATAACGCTGAATAAAAGCCCAATCAGGGTGGTTTTCTTCAGCTAATTATTCCCACTTCTCCTGCAGAAGAAACACCTATTTACGGATCGTTTTGTATTAAAAAAAGACCCCACTCCCTACACAACAACTAAAAACCTTTATTTTTTCAGCTGCTGATGATCCCCCACGGCCTACTTTTGATTCCTTGCTCTCTAGGGATATGGCTGGGTACATGCCAGCGAGAGCTGACTTTGTTGAGGTAAGACTCTCTCTTCTCCCATTATTTTAAATTTGCTCCTGAATGCAAGATCAGCAAACGGACACTTGTTTGCCCCTGCCTATAGGTCTTTACTCTTCATATAAAAAACATTAGAAGAGAGGACAGGACAGAGTGATTAAACCAAGGATTTAATTACAGAGGTGGCGCTGCAGGCCTACAAAGCTGCTAGCAGGCAGTCTGTGAGTCACTGGCTTTGTGTACGCGGGCTGTAAGGCATGCTGCTGCCACCAGATGTCCAGTAATGAAGGCCTCTTATGTAAGCGGACTAGATGTTGTGAATTAGATGCTTAGCAAAAGGGGTCAGCTTCAGCATGCTTCTATTTCGTTTGCCTTAGAGAAGCACGTATGAGCCTGATCCAAAGATCACTTGAAAGACCTGCATTGTTTTCAGTGTTTCTAGCTGTGGGCCCAGGGCCCCAATTCCTGTTGCAAAACAAGCTCCTGTACATGAAGTAATGAATTCAGCCATATAGGGGCTCGTTGATTTTGTACGTTTGAGCAGAATTTCCACCACAGTGTGGGAGTCATGGAGATTACCTGATTAATTCTCATTATCCTATCACAGCATCCTGTTCCAGTTCCAGCCGTGGGGGTGCACATTATACATTCCCTAGTTAAAGCTTCCCTGTGATGTATGTTGCTCAAGGATGGAACCTTGTACAACTGTGTATGAGTAAATATCTCTGTTTTCAGTACTTCCAAGTGTACTGAAACTTCATACGAATTTTTTAGTGCTAGTTAGTGACCATTTATTAATCACCTCTGAACAGGAGTTTGACAACTATGCTGAATGGGATTTGAGAGATATTGATTTTGTAGAAGATGATTCAGACATTTTGCATGGTAAGTCCCATATTTTTGTACATTGTCTGAAAACAATGTTCCAGAGTGCCTACACAACATTTCATTGGGCCTCTTTTTCTCTACACACCTTTTTAAAAGTGAACATACATTTTTAATGATCTCACTTCTGTGTGCTGGGATTTAAACACTGGCATTTCTGTGGTCCTCCCTTTCGAATCTCTTTTAAAAGCTCTTAATCAACTGACGTACAAATGGTACTTATATATAGAATAAAGCACTTCACTCACTACTGAAATGTAGCCAGGTTTAAAGTAGAACATGACTGAAATCAAATAGTCTTCACCTGTAGTAGGCATCTCTTTAGGAAAGACACAAATGATGTTTTATCCAGTATGAACTCTAGAGAAAGTTTAGCTAAGTAGAAGCAAATTATCCGAGATAGCAATTTGTCTGGAAACAGGTAGCAGTACCTCAGTGTTTGAATAAACAGACCTACAGGCCTGTTAAAAAACAGAAGCATCAATGCTTTGACATTACTTCCCCTCCCTGGCTGAAAGATATTCTTTCCGTCTACATAATGTCTGTGAGCATCATAGCAAGGCACAACTTTTGTTCTGATTCAGAAAAGGGAACACTTTCTTCTCTGTTACTAATACCCCTTTCTCCTACTATATCTAGTTTCTTAGAAGATCTGTCACTTTCTCTAACCTCTGTTAGTTTAGGAAATCTGGTATCAGGATAGGTATTAATACAGGCAGCAAGGAGGTATGTAGTTTAAGACTATGTGTAACACATTGAAACTGTTCTACTCTTGAAGTTGTGCGGTTTTTCATGCGTTAAGCATGCACGCTGAGTTATAGTAGCATTAGCTGTATGTGACAACTTTTTTATTGTAAAGAGGATGGTTCTTGTTATGAGTCCAACTACTGCTACTGAGTTTCTGTGAACATAGCTGCCTTAATAATACCAAGTAACAGGAATTATTAAAATGACGTTTTAATCCATAGAGAAGAAAAGATGGTAATTTTCCCCACATTTATAAGTACATATAGTGTTTAAAAGTACTGTGTTTATGCTTCAGAATTCTCCCATTTATGTCAGGCAGTTCTAAGCTAAAGCCTTAGTATCCCTTGGAGACAGACAAATCCTGTTACGTACAGACAGTCTTTCCAAACTTAAAAAATCAGTTTGAAATTTAGCAGTGTACACAGAGCTTTAAGGAATGCAACTCCCTCAGCTCAAAAAAGGTTATGAGAATCGTATGTCAGTCTCTCTTCCCTTTTAACATTTATTGAAAGGGGGATTGTCTTGTGGACATGTCACGGATTCATCATGCCATCTCTCTACTGTTTCTTTTTATTACTATGAAAAGATACGTTTTCTTGCTTCCATGTCCTATTCTGAGGGAAAAGATATGTTTTCTTGCTTCCATGTCCTATTCTGAGGCCTGGTAAACTGAAAAAGCAAAATAATCTCCTAGTTCTGTTCATTAATTAATAGCTTAATATTCATTCAAGCTGGTTTACCAGCACTGTCTTCCATACCCCTCACACCCGTCTTCCTCCCACTGCACAGTTCAGCCATTTAAGATATCTCCTACCAGCCTCCTGTTTAAGTTGTCGATCTGAATGCAAAAATCAGCTTTCCTCATCTCTTCAGAATGTCATAAAGCTATGCAGGGCCAGACCCTTGGTCTGTCTAGCTCGGTGTTCTGTTAGTACCCCATAGCAGACGCACAGGAGAAGAATGTAAGAAAAGGCAAGTACAGGCAGATGCTTTTCCTGGCACATCTTCCACATTTCCTACAGTGATAAGTTTAGAGACTTCTTGAGCCATACGTTGTGTTCAGACCATTTTGACCAAAGGACCTGTCCTCCATGAACTTAGCTAACTACTGTTAGAACTATATATATTTGTACTTCTGCCCCCATAACATCCTGTAGCGGTGAGTTCCACAATTGAGTTAGGAGTTCTACAATTTAATTGTGTTGTGTGAAAAAATACTTACTTTTGTCTGTCAAATCTTTTGCCTGAAAATGTCATTGGATGTTCTCTAGTCCATTCTTTAGTTGTCTTCAGTATTTAGTATAGGACGTCAGGCATTTGCCCTGTGAAAACTATTTGGCAGAGGTTATGGAGCATGACCAACTACATTTTTGATCTCTTAGCTCAGGAACTCTGGCATCTTCCTTCCCACAGCTGTCCTAGATCTGCCCATGTGAGAGAGAATGCCTCTAAAAAATGAAGTCCCAGGGTCTAGGCAGCTGTTTTTCTTTTACATGAGGCATCTTGGGGAGAGAAAGAATTATTTTCTAAAAAACTTTGGAATTAGATCTTTCCCTTCTCCAAGTTAATACAAAAAAGGAAGGAGCCACATGCTCCCTGTCCTGCAGTTTTAAAGATCTCAGATGCTGACTTTGCTTGATTGCTCAAGAGTATTTTGCAACCTAATTGTAGGATTTCATACTGTAGAACGTGGCTCAACACTTGGATCTGAAGGCAGGAACAGGCATTTGGATGATTTAAGAAGCGTTTGTACTTTCTAGTTAACAGGCAGAGAAGGTTGTGAGGCAGCCCTGGAGGCCCGGGTTCTCGTAATCTCTCCCAAGGGTGCCTGTTCCACTACTTCCAGGCAGCGGCTCTAACGTGCCTCTCTACCCCAGCCCTGCCCACTGGCAAACTTCTTACACTAGATCTTACAGAAACGTCCTTGAAAAGCAGTCCTGTGGCTGTCTTCCACTCCTGCTTGAGACAAATTTTTGCCGGCCAAACAGCAAACTTTTTTTTTTTTAAAAAGGTAAAGATATAAAACAGGGTTTTAATTGATTTTATAGCCCAGAGAAACCCAAATGGAGTCTTGCAGCATAGGTTAAGTATCAGGTTTGTGAAAAAATCCTCAGTTTGTTTTCCTGCCATACATTAAACCTCACTGGGTTCAAGATTAATTTTTGAAAACTACTTTTATATTCCATTTTCTGAAAGTTACTCAAGCTAGACCCGGAGAACACACTGACCAGAATAATTCCTATGGTCTCGCTTTCCTCTTTTGTTTCACACGTCGCAGATCAGTACTGCAATGTCTAGGTTGCACGTAACACAGGAATATTTGATGCTTTCATTAGAACAGAATTCCTCCTTCTTCCCTTTCATCCACATTGCTCTGCTTTTCTTAAAATTTTGTAAAAATCATTTTATAAAAAGTTCTAGATCTAAGCTGCTTGACCTCTGTTTCCTGATAGCATTGCATTTTCCCTGTTATATTTTCCTGTCACCCTAAACAAGTTCTCAGTATTCCCACAAGAAAGAAGAGTGCAATTTAATACAAGGTGGAAAGACTCCCAGGCAGCCTTTTATGAGGAACACAGAAACCTGTACCTGCTGACTCACCAGCTCCTCCCACCACACAGGAGGTCACAGGCGTTGTTTAGTCACTTCTTAATATTAGTGAGATGGTAGAAATTATATGAAATCGCTCATATTTCAATTAACTTCTTGAACTGTTAACTTTTATTCAGTACTCGCAATATCATAAGTGCATGCAACTATATATTGCAGTTAAACAAAAACATAATGGACATACCAAAAGAAACTAGTTACAAATCTAATTCAGCCCAGAGTGCTTGAATATTTCATGAATTACAAGTTTTAATCAGACTGAATTGTAACCTTCCTAATTTATCTTTTTCCTGGCTTTTTCTCCCCTTTCCTTCTCATGTAAATGATTTTTACTTCTAACACTGGAAAGTAATTGCTGAAACCGCAGGTTTAGAAGTGCGTGGAAATAGACTGCAACTCTGGCTGTACAGTAGTGGAATTTCATTTCATAAGATACAAGGCAGTCAATATCTTTCTAAATATTACATGATGTTTATTCTTTTGTGGAAGTTCCTGACATGCTCCGAAGGCAGATACTCTGTTTGCCTAGGGTCCTGCTTTCCCCTAGGGAGGGTGGATTTGGATCATAGGCATTAAGTTTGTACGAACCAAGGCACTGGATACACAGCCTGTTTACTTTGATTAGTTTGCATTCTTCCCATTATTTGGGCTTTGCATGCCAAACAGAGGTTAGCTAGCCTGAAACAAAGGTCTCACTCATTAGTGTTCAAAAAAGTTTTTGCAGTCCAAATGAGGCTGAAGAGAAATGAAAAGCAGAGAAACTGTTTTGGACACACTCTTGAGAAACCAAAATATTTTGATTTTTTGGAATGAAGAAGGGAGCCTTGAATTTCTGCCTATCACGGGATCCTTCAAAACTACTCTGACCATCTGAAAGAACCTTATCATTTCCCAAAATGGACACTTTGAACACAATGTCAGCTTGGATTATCTTAAGTTACCAGTACAAACAACTGCCTCTCTAGTATAATGCATGGGGAAAAGCACAGGCAAATCATTTTCATTCGTACAGCATCTCTTTTCTCATTTCAATGCAGCATGTAACAATATAGTAGTCTGAGTTATTCATGCATTCCAGATTTTGTAATCGGCTGTTCCTGTGTGAATATGTCTATTAAAAACAAAAGCCCCTCCAAAAGTGCACATCTCAGCAAATACTAATTTTTCTGTAAGCAGAAGCTCCATTTTTTTTTCCTTTATTTGTTCTTATGAATATTCCTTCCCTTCCCCAGTTGATCATAATTTCTTTCAGAATATTGTGCACTCAGGTGAAAGCATCAAAATGCAATGGTTATAGGTGCATAATTACTTGTGATATTTATAGAGGTTCTCCAATGCAATTTCTGCATGTACTTATTAAGTTCTGCCCACACAAACCCCAGAAAATAACGTTAGCTTTGCTTGCAGAGGGTTTAAAAATACAAAAATATTTTCCATAAATTGGCACCGATTCAACACTTAGTAATGTATTTCATTCATGTTTAACTGGCTGTATTTGCCAATTTTTTGTTCCCACATTTAAGCAAGAAGGAGAATTTGCTACCTGTGCTTGTTCTTAAATTAGGAAACTTAAATACCTTTTTATGAAAATACATGATGATTCTTGAACACCCTGGCCTTGCAAGAAATTTGCAAAAAGAAGTAAGAATATTGTACCACCTCTCCTATCTTCATACGTAATCTTTTGCTCCTCGATTAACATCAGGTCAGTTTTGTATAAATTGAAGATTTTTTTTTGCTAATACAGGAACAGCAAGCGTAACTCAAAACTGTTGGCTCTTGAGCTAATACGCACAGCCTTTGGGCTTTAGCTGTCCCTGTTTATAAGAAATTTTATTACCCAGGGGACTGCACAGATGAATTGCCTAGAGGCTAGGGGCTTCCTGGTGTTTACATATAAATACATATTTTAAAATAGACACATAACCACACTTCTTTTTTAATTGCATTATTAATTATTTACTGGAGAGTGCAATCAATAAACTGCCAGTATCAGTTTTGCCCTTTTCTTGTAACTACAGAGGGAGGAGTGGATTCTGGATTCTGTCACACTTGGGCCACCCCTGTTTGCACAGCACAGTGGGCTGAAAGGGGACGTGCTCTTGCTTAGTTTCAGAGAGCTGTATGTGGTCTCTACAGACTGTAAAGCCACTGTCAAGTCTTAAGCCTCTTCCTCCTGAGAGCATATTGAAATGATTAACGTAAAGGAAGAAAAGCCAACCAAGAAATCAGCCAGCTCTACGCTTATTTAATGACCTAGAATTTTTGCATTATTTAACAAAATGAGGGAGGGGAAGGTGATAGGTGTCTCCTTATCCTTTCTTTCAAGAATTTACCAAAAAAGTTTATTAACCTAATGGTTACAGGAAAAAGAAGCTGAAGAATCTCCGAGTGGATCAGCCAGACTGCAGACAGATTTGATTTTGAAAAGGATATGATTTCTAATGAGCATGTTTTTTTCCTGTGCTTCTTCACATGGTCGTGAGCTGTTCTCTTTGTTCTTCTGGCAGACGGATAAGTTTAGAAGTTAACAAGCTAAAATCTTGTAGATGTTTTTGAGAACTGTAGCAAAGGCTACTTTGAATCTTCACAGTTCAGAACTGTGTCTTTCTATTTTTTGGAGTTCCTTGTTCTGTGCAAAGAAGCCTCTGTCCAAAGATGATACCTCAGATCCTTAAATCTGATAAATTTGCTTTTCAGGAGAAGGAATACTTAACAATTGCATGTATGAAGGAACAAATAAGTGCTAACAGTAAAACAGTCCAAGAAGGGAGAGGAAAAGAGTTCTCAGGATCTACCCAGGTTCATGCTTACAGGCAGTACTGTATTTGGAAGGAGTAAGCAAAAGAAAGCTTCTACAGGTAGCAAGTATAGTCTGCAGAAGGTTAGCCTCTAGTGAGTTTATGCCCCTGTAAAATTGCCACGGGATTTTTAAAACAGCAAAGTAGAGTGAAGTAGAGTGACCATTTCAGCCTACCATGAACATAAAGGCTTGAAAATTAGCCTAATACAGTGATTACTTATGTATTCTGTAATCTTTTTTTTATTATTATTTTGCAGCTCTGAAGATTGCAGTTGTAGATATCTATCATTCCAGGTTAAAGGAAAGACAGAGAAGAAAAAAGTGAGTTTTCAAGCATAATTGATTTCCTATAGTATCCTTCCAGACAATTCCCATGCATGGAGACCTTCTGCTATGAGATTTGCATGACAGGCTTCATCCTGGATGTGTGGTTCTCCTTCTGTGCACAGATTAAGATCAGGCACGTGGCTTTAGCAATGGTACCAGCCCAGAAAACAGAGATTAACAGACCCTGATACTTATTTGTACACATGGTTGACAAAGGACCTCTACACACCATAACTCTCCTTTAAACTCTCAAACCAAGTCATTAATTGTGAAAAGCGTATTTTCCAGTCCTTTTTAGTGCGTGAAAGTCATGTACGCAGTGTTCTTCATATCCCCAATCCAGTTATACATAAATAACTAAGCTTTTAGCACACCTTATGAGATCATGTAGCCGTTTTGCAGAATGAGAAACTGAAATACTATCTGGGAAACTGGTCACAGATTCAGGGCTAGGAACCAGAAAAGAGGCAAATTTCTGTTCCTTTTGTTCCCTAGGTAATGCTGATGGACTGCACATAATTCATTTTCTACTTTAGG